TTTGATGTCTCACATGGGATGTATTAGTTGCCACTTTTCAAATATAGGAATTTTTATTAAGTACTGTCTCTTTTTAGGAATCCCTTAGAGATTCTTATTCTGTAGTATAACCTTATCAACACACAGTGAAATTATCTAACTCTGTATAAAACACAAGGACAAAGAAAAAGAAATATAGTTCCTACATGTAGTTTTGCCTCTTCTAAAATATTTTTATTCCTGTAGTGGAATTTCAAATCTCTCCTTTTTTTATTCATCTGAAAAGAGCTTATAAATATGACGGAAAAGGATTTCAGAATAGGAAGACAGAAGTATTGCTCAGACCAAATGATCAGTTTTCAATAGAAATTAATGCTACTGGACCAGTATATGATAACAATTCATTGGTATATTCTACCAGTCTCACTTTAGCTCCAGATCCAGATTTACTTCTATTTCTTACATGCTCTATTGTCTCTGCTCTGACATGTGGTACCTGATATCTTGATAAGGAATGCATCCCCAACCCAATAATACTGTTTGGAATAGTCCATTAGGACTTCAGGTTCAAGATTTTAAAATATTTTTCTTTCAGTTGAAGTGGATTTTTTTTTTGGGGGGGGGGGGGTGGTTATTAACAAGTATTTTGAATTAAGGATTTAAGATAGAACCATTCTTAAATATAAGGGTGTCTGTTGGTGGATTCACTGTTTACTCTGTGGTACTGTAATGCATTTAAGGTGTTTTTTGAGCCTTCAGTTTGACTATATGATTATCTTGCCGTGCATTGATTTATTGCTTGCAGCCCTGGGCGAAGCATTCCCCCAGACTTGGTCTTCATTCTATTATGCCAGTTCTATTTACTTATTCATTTTAAAATCATTAGTGTTTGCAAAATTCTTGGAACGATGGAGTGCTCTGAGCTGAAAGTGAGAGGCAAGCAAGGGCTCTGTTGGGGGTGTGCAAATGCTCTGCTACACGTGACAGGAGTGCCTAGGTGTGTGGTATAACTTAGTGTATGGTATAACTTGGTGTGTGGTATAACTTGGTGGTGCCAGAGTTGCTCTGAGTCTCATGCCGATTTGCCTTTGCATGTTTCTGCACAGCTCAGCAAAAAGCATCCTGGGAAGGGAGGAGTCCTCACCTTTCTTACTCCCTCAGTTAGCAAGACTGAAAAATGCTGCTTCTACTGGATGTATCTGTGTCCAAAATGTGAGATTTCCACTGCTGGCAGTGCAATTCCCACAGAAAGGCCATCCCATGGGAGTTTCTTTTTCTAGTTCCTTGATGTGACAGTTACATTTACTTCATTACTTTTTATAAAGGATTTTGGTAAATAACAATTATAAACTCATTAGTCTCATTATTCTAAATGGAGCAGATAAGTGCATTTTCCTTCTGACAAGGATGCGTGTAGTAAATGACTGATAAATGGAGTTTAGGAAAGGTTTTGGTTGAGATACTTCATAGTAATTAGTCTACTCAAGAAAATAATTCACTCGGTCGTATTGATGGGAAATTGGAACCTTCCATTCTATTAATCTATTATGTAATACACTTAGGCATGCTGATTGTGATATTTTGCTTTGAGTGTTTTCTCTAAGCATCTATGATTAAATTGTGCAGTAATGGGCTTAATGACAGCCATTGAAAGAGATGACCTTTTGCAGGCCAGTAAACAGAATGTTTTAACAATCTGAGTCTCTCAGCTCTTGCAAAATTAGCAGAAACTAGCTCGTGCAACCTACATGAGTAAAGGGATGTGTAAAAAATAGGGGGCATAAAGTCTCTTGTGAAATATGAATCTCTCTTTTTTTGAACTGTGCTGGATTTTAATGGCTTTGGATAGGCCTGAAGGACAATCTTCACTTATTTTGATAATTCTTCATCCTTTTAAAACATACCACAGCATCACCTCTGGGAAGTGTAAAGTCATGTCTAATCAAAGAATAGACACACAGTAAACAGGAGTGATAAAGTATTTTGCAAAATATCCAGCCAGCAGGGAGCCAGCTGTTGACAAGAATGGAAAATATTTTTGAGGGAAAAACAGTAGAGAGACAATTTGAGCAAAAAGGCATAGGGAGTGGTCAGCAGTAGATTTAAGCCCATTTCCTTCCATTATCTGTTGTGTATGTAATACACATTCCTTTACCACATATTGTGAGCATGTCTCTGTAGGTCCAGTATGTAGATGTATTGACCTTGCTTTTAAGACTGATGATTTGGTTGATTTAAAATGGAAGTATTTATATAGGCTTTGCATGAATGGAAAATTTAGGCTTCAGTAATAAAAAATTTCTTGATTTTACATGCAGGCTTTCCATTTATTTTAATGGGATTACTGAAAATGGTTTATACTGGGAATGAAGTCCATGAAGCAGAAAACAAGATGCATATTTACACTGAGGCAAGCAGCTTTCTATCTTAGCTTTCTTTCATGGGTACCTGTGGAGGTAAAAGTCTTTTCCATGGTTCAGTGGAGTATTTGGGCTTCAGTATGGTATGAAAGGTGGAATCTGGAAATCTAGACTTGGTGCTTTACTGACAGTCTAGCAGAAACCCAGCCAGTCTGACTCCATCCCCTCACACTGGAGAATGGTGTGGATGATCCAGTCAGCCTCTTGCTTCCTTGGATAGGGCTGTTCATTAGTGTAGGACAGGGGCTGCAGTGGGCAGCTGGGAGCTCAGGCTGTAGAGAGACTGAACAGTTGAACATGTGAGAAGACTTTGCAAAGTGGGGAAAATGAATATAAATAATTGATTGTAACCAAAATAAAACCCTCCTGGTTTTATTCCTAATAGATTATCTCAGGATCTCTAGCTGGTCAGTGACCCCAAGATATGTTAGAAAGTCTCTTTTCCCAGCCCGGAGATTGAAGAAGGAGTCAGAGCTCTTCAGTCCTCGGTCTCAAGGTTGTTTGTTGTATCTTATATATAAAATTCTTTCTCCTGACCTGCTGAGGTCCGCTCAGCAAGACAGACAGAGGCACTCTGCCTGCCCCCGGGGCAGTGTTATGTCTTTATACTAAAAACTATGTGTACAATATTTACAATTACTTTCCAATACCTATCACCTATGTTAGACAGTGAGCTTCTACTCTAAACCAATCTAAAAGTGCCAACATCACAGCAGAAGATGGAGGCCAAGAAGAAGAAGGAGAAAGGCAGGACACACCCAGATTCCTCCATCTTGGTCCCTACACCTCCATTCTAAAAACCCCAAAAAATCTATTTTTCACCCCATGATAAATTCACTATCATTCTACTTAAACTTTCGTGGCTTGCAATTCTTCATATAAGGTTGGTAATTGTTTTTTCCAAGGGCTAAATCAAAGGCACAGGGTCTTGGGCTCTGTGCCAAGGTCTCTGAGCCCCCTGGGCCAGGGCTTGAGCCATCCAGGGCAGTCAGAGGAATTTCCTGGGTTCCCACAAGATTGCTGTGTCCCAAAGGAGGGGAAAAAGGGAGGCTCACCTGTTCCATGGGAGACAACCCAGGGGGAGGATACTGGGTGCTGGATATTGGGGAGTGCTGACCTCTGGGAGTGCCATGGAAAGTGTTCCAAATTCACTCCTCGGGAACAGAGGGCAGAGAGAGAGAGCTACACCTATCTCTGGAAACAGATGTTTAAGTGTAAAACCCTGTCTTGAATGTCAGAGTGAAGTTCATGCCAAGCTTGGAATTTCTGGGGAGATTCATGGAGCAAGAAGGTGAAAACTCAAGCTGCAGACACAACCTGGATGTGCTGTATGAGCATGTACTGCTAACGGCACAGCCAAAACAAAGGCTCACAAACGTGCTAAATTTTCATAAACAGCTCAGTGCATTCATCTTGCACGTATGTGTTTTGAGTGGCAGTGTTATGCAAAATCACTTTACCCTAAGATAAATAAACACCTTTTTCCCTAAAATTTGAATATTGCTGACCTTTACTGCAAGTGCATGTGCTTGTTTAAAAGGATTGGTTTTGCTCTTCCCATTCCAGAGACAGAAACACTGGCTATGTAACTACATGTTTGTACACAATTTCTTGACATGGAACAGATATTTTCAAGCTTTAACAAAGTGATGGAAAGGTCTCCAAAGCCTTAATGAATTGTGAAAACCTATATAACTCCAACTATAACTCATAGACTGCGGACTTTTGTCCTCGAGTAAGTAATTGAATATTAAATATTAAATATTCCTAGGGAAAAAAAATAAATCAGTTTTCTATAACATGTGAGCAGACTGCATGTCTTTCAGTCTGAGAAACTTGTAATTTTTGGGTGCTGGAAAAATAATTCTAAATGACAGAAAAGGAAGTATTTTGCACTAAAAATTGGAGATTTTTTTCCTTTCTAATTACATTAATAAAATTAGATATTTTAATTTTTAGTAAATTTTTTCTACAGTTCTGTTTAGATCATTCTAGGGAAATAAAATCAGGGTTTTTCAAATGCATCAGCTAGAGAAAATGTTTGCCTGTAAGTGAGCTGAATTCAGTAATGAATAGTCGATGTGCTTGGCAGGATCCTTAGAATCATCGTATCTTTGATTTGACATAATTATGTCTGGCAGTGAAATTCAGAGTTCCAGCAAGTCTTAACATCTCCCGCACCCTCGTTGCTGCTCCTCTGCTCTGGGAAGATAAACTGGGGGGGCAGGTCTTGCTCTCCAGACCCTCAAAGCCCTCAGTCTCTGGAATTTTTTCTGGGAATGCCGCTGGATGGCAGCATTTTTCCGTGCAACTCTGCAGAGAGGCAGGCGGGGAAAGGATAATTAAAAGGAAAGAAACGATTAAAGGAAAAAAAATAAAATAAAGTGAGCGGGCAAGGAGGACGAAGCCAAGTTGAAGGTTGCTACTTTGAAGACCAGCATGCATCTCTGCTTCAGTGTAACTTATGCAAATCTCCAGTATTTGCCTCTCTTCTTTTAATTCCCTGGCAAATAGGATACACAAATTGAAATAAGGAATTCAAAGGAAGGACCTGACTTTTTTTTTTTCCTTTTTCCTCTTTTGGTACTTTTCTGCTTACAGGGATCTATTCTAAAGTGGGAAGGTGGCTCCTGTTTCTGAGAAGATGAGCAGGGTTTGTGAGTTTTCTCCATTCTCTTTCTTTACAATTAGAGCCAATACTTTATTTGGCTATTTAGGCTTGTGCTTCAGAAAGCAAGTGGACTTGGCTGTGTTGTGGTTTGCTCAGGCACCTCTATGCATGACCTCCAAACAAGCAACTGAGCTCATTTCCATCAGAGCTTGGGCTTACCTTGTGAATGATGTGATACCTTCTCTCCCACTCTTGGCACATATGGAGGGCATGATGGTCCTTTTCCTTCTTTCTCTGTGCTTTGGGAACAAATATTTTCACTATGTCCTGCTTCCAGCACCCCTTGGATATTTCACAATCTGTTACCAAAGATGACCCAAAATCCTGACTTTGGGTCCATGGCAGCAGTTCCTTTGTGGCTGATTCCTGGTTTGCCTTCCAGAGCTGACCCAGCTTCTGCCCAGCTGTGTTTAGCTTTTCTGTAAGCTCCCCATCAGGTTATGAGTTGGAAGGCAGCATACAAACTAGGACAGAGCTCAAGCTAGTAAGCTTAACAACGGATCAGGAAAATAGCTTGTCATAAACTCTGTGGTATTATATTCCACTGAAGATTTATGCAGAGAGATATATGTAACCTACTGCCGTGTCTGTTTTATATATATATATATATATATATGTATGTATAAATACACACATCTATCTATCTATCTATCTATCTATCTATCTATCTATCTATCTATCTATCCATCCATCCATCCATCCATCCATCCATCTGCCTGTGTGTCTGTATAACTCAAAAACAATGGATCACATACCCATTGCCAACTAGGCAATGGGAAAATAAGTAGCCTCATGAGGAGTTAGCAAACTTTTATGCTTTAGAGGTTATATATATATACACATATATATACGTATATTTTTTTTTCTCTGTATCTTCTTGTAGTTAAGAAAATGGCATTTGTACTAGACCAGAGGGGAAAAAAGCCAACAGTCAGATCAGTTCTGCTGGCCATGACACAAAGTGGAAATGGGTGTCCCTAATTATGGCTAAGTATTTCAGTATATATGATCTTTTCTAGCTTAAGCCCAACCTAACTTGCTCACAGATGCTTCGAGCAGAATTCACTTGCTTCTCTTTCAAGAGCAAGAGCTCATGGTCAGTATTACAGAAAGAGCTCTTACACTGTTTCAAGGCTTGTTGTTTTGCTTTTGCTGTAGCTCCCCCCATCCCTCACCCTGGCTTGAAAAAAATGTGATGCTAGATAATGTGGTTTCATTTGGGAAAGGTTAGTGGTGTAGAGGAATGCCACTGTTTACGTCTTCAAGGGGTATTGAAAGGTCAGAGAGGGGAAATAAATTGTCCTTCCATGCAAAAATTTTGATTTGATTTTTATTAATTTTACTGTTTTCCTGTAAGTTAGCTTTGCATAGCCAGTCTCTGGTACTGCAAGTCTACACTACTGACTGGTGTCTGCCAAATGCTCACCCCTTCACCATCTCAGAAAGGCTCTGTTTCTTCATCATGGATAGCTACCCTAATTTTAAACAAAGCTCTGCACATATTACTGGTTTCCAGTTTATGCTACTTTGTCTCTTGTGGGGGTACCACTGTTAGCATTATTGCTGAGTATTTAAGACTGTCAGCTTAGATTCTTGAGCTCCTTTTGTTTTCTCCTCATCCTCTAGCAAGTATTTGGTCTCATTTATTTTCTGCTCTCCTTGACCTTCCCTCCATAGATATTCACATTGAGCTGGCCACATGTTATTCTGCTCTGACCTTATCTGGGCAGCTCTAGAATCACAAATAGCAGAGAGAGATCATGCTGCAAATGCCCTTGACAGAGTGCCTCTTGATCCTTAGCATGAAAAGAGAAATGGGTAACAGAAGAATATGGGTACCAGCTCTAAAAGGAAGAGCACTGCAATGCGTTTCAGGTCTTTTAAATGTAAAGAACAGCCTAGGCATTTTAAAAATGTTTATTTTTATTTTTTTATTTTTAATAGAAATGTCCCTTGAGAATAGGAAAGCCTTTGAATGATGTGTCTGCTGTGCTGCCCAACAACAATACTGAGAGCTGGATGGCACTATTGGTGACCTTCAGCTCCTAAAGCACTGCTGGCCAAACAAACACTGCTTACAATATGTGCCACAATATGCCATGACTATTGCATGGCTTGACTTGCTTTCTGAAACACCAACCAGCTGATTTCTGAGGGAAGCAATGAGAAGCTGTCAAGTCTGGGGCTTTAAGACAGCTTAATGGGTCCTTGGCTCTTATACCCTTAGAGCAACATGGGCTGCTAGAGGCAAATGATGTTTTGGCAGGGCCATTTATAGAAGTGGGGTTTGTGGTAAAAATAAAATAACAAATTAGTAAGAAAAGTAAAGCTGTAGAGTTAAAAATCTATTTGTCTGTGTAGTGCAAACCTGGTCTGTGCGGTGAAAATAAAAAGTACTGATGCACACATATGGTTAAAGGTTGTGGTTGATGTTTAGGGAACAAAGTTATAAACAAATATACTGGACATTTTAAGAGAGAAAGAAATTATGTTCTGTGTAAATGAATAGAACATTATTTCTATCCTCCATGATGCCTTAAAAAACAGTTAAATTTGCTCTCAGTTGTTTAAAGATGGCTCCCCCTCTCCTCATCTCCCACCTGTTATGTTAGGGAAGTGCATATTGCTGCCTTGCTTGCAAGGCTGCTCAGGAAAACTCTGAGTGTAAAAGCAAGTGACTTCAAAAGACTGTAGGCTTTAATTATAGCAGCACAGCTTCAGGTCTCAGAGAGCTGTCCCTGGGAGGATGCATGCAGTCAATACTGTCTAGACACTGTACACTAAGTACAAGTGTGATATGGTTAATATTTTTAAGCAGACTCTTTTTGCTGTTGGTGATCTGCTTTCCACACCATGGTTAAGCCAGAGTTAGTGGCATGTACTGAGTGCTCCCTGCTGGACTGGATTATAGTTGTCCAGTTTGGTGTCATATTCACAGCCTGATGGTGCACAACACTTTGGAGCAGGGCAAAACCCTGTCTCTGCCCCTTGTGAGCAGGAGACACTGAGCAGTGTAGTGTCTTGCAAGTTTAGGTTTATGGCACTGGATATTGTATCATTTGGACCCTGGTTTATCAGCCAGGAAACCATGCATGGGATAATGTTTCCTGGTATGGGGCAGTGTGGGGTAGTTCCCTTGTTTTTTCCAGATTAGCTATTAGTCAAGGTGTGTGTGTGTGTGTGTGCGCTGGTATTTAGGCAGCATTTAGTATTTGTAAAGCACTTGTATTTGCTTTATTTTTGTTTTCTATGTGTTTTGTTTTTCTCAGTTGTGTGCAAGATAGAAGCAGAAGAGACAAGTATTCTTAAATGGTAGAAAAATATAAACAGGAAAGAAATCCATATGTTAAAAAAATCCAATATAACCATAATTTTACTTCCTATTTGTCTTTCTTGTTTTTATGTATTAGTATTTAATTATCTGCATCTAAGCATATCCACCTTCTAAAGGTTTTCTGGAGTAGAAATCCTATTTACTGATCTTTAACATCTCTCCACTCCTGTTTTAATAGACAGGTATGCTAGCAAACATCCTAACATGCAAACATTGCAAGTAGGATTTACAAAGTCATTAGCAGAATAATGATGAGAAATATAAAGTCTGAGCAGGGAAGGCAGTGTTACAGAATTTACAACTTGCTTCCCCTCATCCTTATTTTAAATTACAAACAAAAAACAAAAAAATCAAAAGCAAAACAAAATAAAAAACTCCAAACCAAAAATCCTGATGATTCTGATGAGGCCTGACTCATGACTTTGACTAGGCAAAGTAAACTACAGTGGAGCAAGGAGGAGGATTTCTCATAGCATCCCTGTTCCTGGGGCCCAGGTATCCTTGTCTGCCAAGGACACTGCTCTCCCCTTGCAGCCACCTTGAGCCAAATTGCAGAGCCTGGCAGCTCCCAGAACCCTTCACAGTGTGCAGCACAAGTGATGTTACAAAAACAATGCCTTGTGTTCCTGCTCTTATTGCTAGATGATACTCTTTGCACCTAAAACATTTTTCTTCTTTTCATACCCTTTTTGGAAGCATAAACTCTGTCAAAAAAGTACTGAAGTGACAGCTGACCTCTGTGGTTTTATGCAAAGGCAGAGGTGTCTTGTGTGGTCCCTTTACAGTCCAGCTGCAGTCTGTGCCAGAGAGTAAATCAATAAAGGCTCAGATGTAGTAGCAGAGCAGGTACAAATTCTGTCACTCATTTTCAATTTCTGTTTGCAGAAAATTCCTGTAATAGTCAATTTTCCCAACCCCACTGGCCACCCTCCTTCACTCCCTTTCTGAAAAACTGAAGAGAGAGGTTTGGAGCTTGCTGAGAAAGATTTGTTGGAGGGGAAAATGTCTGTGGCCAGTGGCTGGGAAGCAAGTACAAGTGGGGGCTTGCTGCTCTCTGTGCAGAGGTGCAGCCACTGTGCAGCTCTTCAGAAGCTGTCCTGGAGGTAGCACTACAAGATGAAATATCTGTCAGCCTCACTTGGGCTCCTAAGCCTGCAATACCTGTCGGCGACTAGTAAGAGACAAATTACATGTTTTTCCAGTGCTGTCCTTTATAACAATTATGCCTTAACAGTGGGAGGAAGGGGGATAGTTGGAAGCAGGTTTAATTCCAAAGGGATGGTTCATTTTCTCTAACAACCACACTCGCCAGTAGCTCTGTTCTCCTTCCCTCGGCCTCTCTCCCTCCTCCTTTCTCCTTCCCCTCTCCCCACTCCTTGGCAAAGTTACCTTTGCAGTCATGGCCTGCTCGTGGCAAGGATTAATGGTTTATTGGAATTTGCAAGTCTTACAGTAGTGGGGCACATATTCCTATGAATTTTATTGCAATGCACCACAGTATATAATTTCATTAAGCTACACATGTCATGGTTATTTGCCATTATTCCCAAGCCCTTTATGTGCAGTTTTATCAGTCTCAAATGGCAACGAAATAAAAAATGAAATAAAATAGAATAATGCCTAAATACATGCAGAGAGGTCAAGGGACCCTATATGCTGACTACAACAACAAATTTATCATCTCATTTATGAGTGGGCAGGGGAAGGGAGCGATTTCTTCACTGTATTTTAATTAACTGTGTTTCACTGCACGGTAGTAAAGATAATAACCATAACATTAGTGCAACTACTACACTATCAAATGCTTGTCACAGCCTAATATCGTCCAACAATATAGCTTCACAATGGAAACATGCACAACAAAAGAGCATCTTGTTTTGTTAATTTACTGGGGTGCTGTGTTTTTGGAAGGCCTGTATATATTTCTGCAAGCCTGATTAAAATAGAAATAAGTGTACATAGTGGAGAATAATATTTTTACTGCTGTGGGATTCATTTAACAAAAGTGTTCCTTCAGGAAAACAGAACCAAGATGCTAATGTTATACCTCATTTATTGCCAGCATATTCAGTGACATTTCATAATGTACATCTGTCAGCCAGAGATATAAATGAATGAGGTGAACCATGCAATTTACCCTCAGGAAGTTCCATTAGAGCCCCCAAAGTATAATATTTATGAGGTCAGAATCAATTAATCAGATAGCTGTATTTGCTTTTCAGCTCAGCATGCTCTTCTGCACCAAGCTGTTGCATTGAGAAAGTCTTTCCTATTTGATAAGAGGAGTCAGTTTGTATCTGCTGCGTGCAGTCTGTTCTGTAAATCAATTGCTTTCCTCACACAGCTTATACTCTATACAAATACAAACTGTAAATTAAGAGACTGAAAAACAAGTCTCTCTCAAAATACACACCAGAACAGAAGAGTTGTGTGTCTCCTGCTCCTTGCTTAGCCTCTTGCAAATCTGTTGAAAATGAGGAAAAAACTGGAAGTAAATGGTGTACTTTAACCAAACATGCTTCCAGTGAGCAGAGTGTCTTGTGGGGAAAGTATAAAATAGTTAATTTTTAAAACCCTAAAACTGCTGTTTTGGTCTAAGGAACTCACTCAAATTTATGAAGAAAGTTGAGTGAGCTCCATC